GTTAAATGAATGAATGAATGAATAGCGCATATGTTAGGTGAAATCTGGGGCTAAAGTCATCTTTAAACCTTCTAAGGAAAAGTTTTATAAAACTGCCCAATAGAGTGTAGCGAAGGAGAGAGAGACACAAAACATGTAAACAAAGTATAAACTAAATAATAACCACATCCATTATTTGAATGGCTTCTGAAACGCCCCCCTATCCCTCCATTATTCAGTGTATATTCCACCACTATTTCCTCTTTTAATTATCCTCCAAAAGAAAAGATGGAGCACATCAGACACATCTCCACAAAGCCGTCCCTGGCACGCTCTCAGAGTGGCCGGCAAGCGTAGGCACCGTCTGGCGCAGCCGATAGCGAGGACTGTGTGCTGGCAGGGACAGACAGGGCCCGTCTGCAGCTCCGCACAACAACAGGAGGATGATCTCTCAGTCAAGCTCTCTTTGGCTCACCCAGCCACATCACACTGTCTTCAACAGCAGATTAAGGCCCGTTCTTACAAACTCGCAAGGCTAATTGGAGAGAAGCGGCAGCTGTCATTCACTAGGGCAGAGCTTTTGTCCTAGAACCATAAAGTACTTGAAATTACACATTTTCTGTATAAGAACCGGCACCGATGGCTTCTTTAAATACTCATATCTGGGACTGCAAAGTCCACTGGCATATTGTCTTCAACCCTGAAATAATACAAATGAATTATGTTTACTTGGGTGCTGGCTAATTCTAGATTATACATACAATTCCAATTTAATGCCATTTTCAAGAAACTAAGTGTATTTGTTCGCCATTTTGTCTATCAAGCATTAAAAGAGTCTTCTTAGCCTTTCCTGTAATGTCACTAAATAAGACCATGTTCTTTTTTGTCAGAGTTTCTAAATCCTTTAAATTTCTAGATGAACTAAAAGAATAGCCAGGTTCATAGCTACTGAACAGACCAAACTGAAAGCAGGGAAATAGTTTTCGGGCTAATTTTAGAAGAAAATTTCAGATGGCATTTAGAGGCTTTTGCATCTGAACTGTTCATATATATATATATATATATATATATATCGGTCTGAGATTTTTTTTGGACCTCATTGTAAATAAATGGAATTAGTGTATTTTGCACATTTGTGACCCTGGACCACAAAACCAGCCTTAAGTAGCACGGGTATATTTGTAGCAATAGCCAAAAATACATTGTATGGGTCAAAATTATCGATTTTTCTTTTATGCCAAAAATCATTAGGATATTAAGTAAAGATCATGTTCCATGAATATTATATTTTGTACATTTCCTACCATAAATATAGCAAAACTTCATTTTTGATAAGTAATATGCATTGCTAAGAACTTCATTTGGACAACTTTAAAGGTGATTTTCTCAATATTTTGATTTTTTTTGCACCCTCAGATTCCAGATTTTAAAATAGTTATATCTCGGCCCAATATTGTCCTATCCTAACAAACCATACATCAATGGAAAGCTTATTTATTCAGCTTTCAGTTGATGTATAAATATCAATTTAGAAAAATTGACCCTTATGACTGGTTTTGTGGTCCAGGGTCACATTTGATCACCTCACAATAAAAATAATGATAACACTGTACTGTCGCGTTCTGTCTCTGTCCAAATCAACTCTCTCCATTTCGCTCTCTCTCCTCGTCTCTCTCAACCGGAGAGGCAGCAAAAGATCTTAAGTGTTGGCTTTTTGTTCTCCAGGGGGAACCAAGAGAGAAAGCTTGGGCTTATTTGAAGTATTTCGCCCCGTGTGGGGATGAAATGTCTTGTAGTGCTTTCAAGATTACTATTTGCAAGCCTGTGCTGTGAGAGTACCATTCCTGTAGTGTAGAGTACATGTGGTACAGTAATTGCTAACTAAGCCAAGAAAAAAGCTGAGAAGAGGAGGAGACAGAAAGTTAGATTAAAAGACAATTTCTCACAAAAGATATAACACTAGTCAATCATTTATAGAATTGGGTCCAAAAAGTCTGAGAAACCTAGTGACAATGCTATTTTTATTGTTCTAATTTAATATTTTGCCAGTCAAAAGTTTGGAATTACTAAGATTTTTGATGTTTTGGAAAAGTCTCTTATGCTTACCGAGGCTGCATTTATTTGATTAATAATACTGTAAAACAGTAAAATTGTGAAATATTATTACAATTTAAAATAACTTTTCTATTTCATCATATTTTAAAATGGAATTTATTCCTGTGAGGAGCTAGGAGCTAAGCTAATTTTTAAACATCCATTATTCCAGCTGATTACACCACATGTATGATAACAACTATTTTTATTGAGCACCAAATCATTATATTAGAATGATTTCTGAAGGATTATGTGACACTGAAGACTGGAGTAATGGCTGCTGAAAAATCACTTTTGACACTTTCGACTGGTAGTGTATTTACAAGATTTTTATTGTACAAATTACAGCACCAGTATAAAATTTGGAGTGGAAATGTTACATTCAAAAGTTGAAATGAATTTCAGAATTTCTTGAGATATTGGCATTTTGTCCACCTTCTGCTTTAAACCTTGAATTTTGTCTAAAATAAATTTAAAAAATTAGGTAAAATGATCAATGTCATAAATTTGCTTATTAGTTAAGTGATCTAGAAATAGAACAGAATCTTAAATATATCTTCTTCATTTAATAATAATTTAATTTTAATCATCTATTTGATGCCATAATGTTTCTTTGTTTTAATTTTTTTAAATCCTAAAACTTTCTGTTTATCTCCAGGTTTAAAATAGATTTTCAGTGTGATCTCTGAAGATCAATCTTTAGACTTTTTACATATTTGAGTTCTGACACGTTATTAATATTTGTGACTGTCAGCTCAAGCCATTGACAGATAAAGAAACAAAGCGCTAACTACAACTTCTCTCACTCTCTGAGCTGCGTTTTAAAATGATGCCAGAGTGGCTATCAAAGAACAGTGTGGCTATTGTTTTACAAAAGCTGTCTTCCTCTGGAGTAAAACCGGCAAAAAAACAATACACAAAACAGAGCGTTGCTCCTCATCTTGATGAAAGGAGAGATGTGGAGAGTGAAGCTCAGCTTTGAAAAGAATAGAAACACAAGGCCAACTCTCTCTGGCCTTTTGCCTGTCAGCTGAGGGGTTTGCTTACATGCCAGAGTCGACTGTCCTAGAGTTGAAACAACCATCACACAATAACACAAACACAAACACATGAAATGTATGACCCACCTCAACACAGCCTTATGAAGACCTTGCATCAGAGCGACTCTTCAGGCTATGGAAGCAAAAGAAGGCAACATATTGTCGGAGGTTATGTCAACACATTCCAGAACAATCAATAGTGTCAGAATCACTTAGATGAGCGCCTGAAATGCACACGGCAGGAAAAATAGACACCAGATGTACTATAATGTGTGCTGTGATGAAACCACTCTCAAATGCTCTGTGATTAGAATTTAAAAATGAATAATTCAATAAAAATCTCTAGACCAACCGGTTGACAAAATGTCTGTCAAGCTGGTTTGCCTCAATCTAAACAGAATGTGACAGTTGTGTTTCTCTGTAATTGCCTATTTGATGATGACATCAAAAAACAAAGCTATAGAGAACAAATTCTGCCATATAGGGATTTCAAAAACCTGTGATGAACATTTGCTTTATCAGCGGTCTCGACACTGTGTAAAATAGGAGTGCAGTTCACATGAACAAATGGAAGGAAAATGTGAAGAAAACTATTACGTTGTAGGGAAAATTTGGATTTTTAAAGGTTTTCCAAATTAAAAATTGGGCAAATTTCTTTATTAGTTGATAAGTGATTTAGTAGAGATTAGTAGATAAGTAGTGTAACCTAGAAGTAGTACAGAATCTAAAATATTTCTTATTCATTTAATAATAATTTTTATTTTAATCATCCATTTTATGTCATAATGCTTCATAATGTTTTTTTTTGAAGTTCTCCTACATTTTTCTGTTTCATTTTTCATCAAATAAAATTAAATTAAATAAGACTTTTATATTATATTAAAACAAATTGTGTGTGTGTGTGTGTGTGTGTGTGTGTGTGTGACCCTGGACCACAAAACCAGTCTTAAGTGTCAATTTTTCGAAATTGAGATTTATACATCATCTGAAAGCTGAATAAATAAGCTTTCCATTGATGTATGGTTTATTAGGATCGGACAATATTTGGCCGAGATACAACTATTTGAAAATTTTGAATCTGAGGGTGAAAAAAAATCTAAATATTGAGAAAATCGATTGACAATTTGAAAAATTGACAATTTAAAGTTGTCCAAAGGAAGTCCTTAGCGATGCATATTACTAATTAAAAATTAAGTTTTAATATATTTATGGTAGAAAATTTATGATTTTTGGCATAAAAGAAAAATCGATAATTTTGACACATACAATGTATTTTTGGCTATTGCTACAAATATACCCATGCTACTTATGACTGGTTTTGTGGTCCAGGGTCACATATATATATATATATATATATATATATTGATTAATATATATCTCGATTAACTGATTAATTAACATGTTAATTTTGACAGCCACATAATCTTTTCTTCTCAAAATTTGAAAGCCTCCTAGCATCCCCCTGTCGGCTGTCTGGGAGTCCATGAACCCCAGCTTGAAAACTCACTGTTTTAGGGTTGCTTAAGGGGAACTTTGATTGAAATCAAATGAAACTTGTGAATTCTGTTAAATTTGTTTACATGCCATTTTTACAACACATTGTGCCATATACAGAAAGGCCTGTTATAATGCCTCCTGATCCTTTTGTGGCCAGTTGTGAAAAGAGCACATCACCAGGTCATGGGTGAACAAGGCTTGGTGTGCTGGTAAGGCTCATGAGGTGAGGGGAATTTGTATAGGTAAACTCTAGCATTCGGGAATAATGGGAGTGTGGCTTTAGTTGTCTTTAGAGAAATGAATAATGGAAAGGTCTGTGACGTTTTCAAAGGTAAACTCTAGTTTCTGTGACGTGCCTCTGGCAGTAGTGTGTATACATCTGTAGAAGAGTGTAAAAGGTCCACCAGGACCTCAATGGCAGTACGGCAGAACGGCGTGGACATCCTGCTCTGCAGCCATGGGAAAGGTAGGCGCTGACAGTTGTAGCTTCTAGTTAGAGTGATGCTTAATGTTTCGAATTGGTATTTTCACAAGACATTATTTGCTACATTAGGGACATGAGCTTCACCCTGACTTGGAACAACCTGAAAACCATATAGTCTGAAATGAACTTCAAAAGTCAAACTAGATAGAAGAATAGAAGATCATCCATGGAAGTTTAGCCACTACAGCTTTCTGTTACTTTCACATAAGACTGGATAAAATAAGCATATTCATTCACCACTTCCATAGATTATTCCTCTGTTCCTTGCTAACATACTCTTTTCTTCTGTCATCAGATCATCTTCTATGAAGGCTCCAACTTCCAGGGGCGCTCCTATGAGTGCTCTGCTGACTGCACTGACACCTTTAGATGCTTTAACTGTTGCAACTCCATACGGGTCATGGGGGGTCACTGGGTGGCCTACGAGAAGCCCCACTATATGGGGTATCAGTACGTCCTGGGCCGTGGGGAGTATCCTAACTTTCACCACTGGATGGGCTTCAACAGTTGTATCAGATCTTGTCAGATGTTCTCCCCAGTAAGTCAATCAAACTGATGGGTTTTATTTCACGCAGTTAGACACCTTTAAAAAAAGCAACGTCAATCAACGAGCCCTTTGAAGTAATTCATATATGCAGGGAAAAAAACAGGTTCACAGGTCCACCAGGAGATTTAGTTATTTGAAATGGAGCAAGACACACTCCGATGACTGCGCAGCTCATCATAATTCCATTCATCTCTGTTTTTGGCAGCGGAAGAATCATGACACTGTCACTACAGTTAGTTCGACAAAAATGACTAAACGTCTACTTGAAAATCTTTGAAAGTTGCGCGTTTACAGCAGGAAGTCATGTTCAAAGGCTCAGTCTCAACAGCGACATCAAGAATGTTCAAGGTTTTCTCCCAAACGTTCTGACAGCTGGTCTCTCAAATGTCTCTGCATTGCCCTGATTATTGATTCCTCTAAAGCCCTAACTGCTGTTTTTCTCCCCACACAACAGTACAGAGGTGCCTACCGCATGAGAATCTACAACAGACCTGAAATGTACGGACACATGATGGAGTTCACAGATGACTGCCCCAATGTCTACAACCGTTTTGGCTACCACGGCATCTACTCCAGTAACTGTATGGAGGGCTACTGGACCTTTTACGAGCACCCCAATTACAGAGGCCGTCAGTATTTCCTGCGGCCCGGAGAGTACAGAGCCTGCAGCGAATGGGGTTGCATGAATCCCATGATTGGCTCCTTTAGGAGAATGAGGAGCAGTTTAATGTAAACGGTATCTTTTTTATGACCATTAAAGACGTTAAAACGGTTATTTTCTTCATTAATTATTTGGTAGCATAGGAAACAGAACGTTTCTTCAGCTTGCCAGTTGTTTTTCAAATAAGAATCCACTGATTCATTGCCCAGTACACATCAAAATAAAGACATGCATGTCAGTTTCAAGCCAAACTCAACTTTATAAATCTGATGTGGTTGAAGAATTCATTTTAGTCTCATTCCAAACCATAAAACAAACTGATAAAAAAAGAACTGCTTATGTGAGAGGACTATTTCAATGAAATCACTTCATATCCCAGCTTCATATTAGCATTTTATCTTCATTTATGTGTCCCTGCCAGTTCATGGCATTTACATGTAAAGCCCTGAAGCAACTAAAAGCAGAGTTTGCAACTTTTTTGTCAAGAACTGAAAAGCGCAGTGGTGCTGTCTTTGGAGAGAGAGAGAGAGAGAGAGAGAAAGCTTGCAAAGACACAAAGGGGGGCACACACTGGCTGATCTGCAGTCGCATCTACTCTATAGAACACATTGTGCTGACCAGACCGAGTTTTGTGAGTCACACACAAAGCCCTGATCCTGCCGGGTCTATAAAGAGGTCCTGACCTCAGAAATGGTTTGGTCCGCTCAGAGAACAGTCACAATGGCCAAGGTAAGTGACTAAATTGTGTTTGTAAATTATATAGATTGCGGTTTTAGGATATGCAACAATATTATCCACAACCATGCTTTTAATTCTTCAAAATAAATATGAAAAATATATATATATAAAATAGAACAGCTGTTATTTTTTTAATGGAGAAGGAAATATTTTTGAAATAATACGTTTTGAAAAACCATGATAAAATAACTAACTCTGGATTAAAAGATATTTGGTATATAAATATTTTCTTTGAATTATATGGTAATCTGAGTTATATTTGTACATGATTGCACTAAGGGTACACTCTCAGAAAAGAAGACACAAAACCGGGGCAGGACCCTTTCAAAAGATACTAATTTGTACACTTTAGATATGTACTTTTAAATTAATAATATGTACTTAATGTACTAATGTGTAGTCTACCATTTAGGGGTAAATACAGTAGAAACATTTAGCATTTAGCTTTGGTACCAGTCACAGCTTCTTCTTTTTTTTGAGGGAGTGTATTTTATGGATAAAATAATGAATTACAATCTGAATTCAGCTTTGTTTAACCTTAGTAAAGAAAAGAAAAAGTGTTCTTGACTGTATCCATCCTATTCTGTTATAAAATGCCATGGTTCCAAGCATCTTATGATGTTCAATTGCTTTAAATTGTAGAAAATATTCATTCCAACAATGAAGCGAGAGAGAAACAGACTGCTTTTAGCCTAAAGTAGCCCTGTTGAGTTCAGTTCATATGTTTAAGATTAAATCTGTATAGTGTAGACTTTGGTGCCATACAGAAGACAAAAAATAAATAAATAAAATAAAAATAGAGAGACCATAAAATATTCACTTTTTAAAATAGTAATATTAAAAAGAACTACTCAGATTTTTTATATAACTTCTTACAAAAAATCTGACGAAATAAGAAAAAGTGAAACTTCAGACTTAAAGTGTACCTGTAATCCTGTATTTTTCTTTCTCTACATCCATCCAACAGATTACTTTCTTTGAAGACAAAAAGTTCCAGGGCCGTCAGTATGAGTGCACTGGAGACTGCGCTGACATGCAGGCCCACTTTTCTCGCTGCAACTCCATCCGAGTAGAAAGTGGAAGCTGGGTGGCCTATGAGAAGCCCAACTACGCTGGATACCAGTACATGCTGTCCATACCCTGATTTCCAGCACTGGGCTGGATTTAACGACTGCATTCGCTCCTGCCGCATGGTTCCTCCTGTGAGTCTTTACTGTACAGTCAGTCAGTAGAAGTAGAAAACAGAATTATTTAAAAATAATCTATTGTGATAGGAAAAATTTGTTACTTTGCATCAGCAAGTTAAGAGTTTAATTATGCTGGTTAGGTCGTGAGAATCTAGCTCATTGAAAATAATGACTGTTCTATGAATATTTTGTAACTGCCTCTTTTTTCTTTTGTCTTTAAAGTTTGGGATGTTTACTTTGTTTATATGATATGAGAACAAACAGATTTCTCAAACACTCACCTCATCTGCCATTGGTTGGCTAAATAGAGAGTCCCACCCCAAACTCACGCTATTGGCTGATCCAATGTCAGAAAACAATGCCTTCCATTTTTGGAGAGAACTTTTTTTTGTTTGTTATATATATATATATATATATATATAACACTGATTACTTCTTCCCCAGTACACTGGAAACTACAGGATGAAGATCTTCGAGCGCTCCAATTTTGGTGGTCAGGCAATGGAGCTGAATGAAGATTGCCCTGATCTACGTCAGCGATTCCACAACGGAGACATCTCTTCAGTCAATGTCATGGAAGGCTACTGGATCCTCCACGAGCACCCCAACTATACTGGTCGCCAGTTCTTCCTGCGCCCTGGTGAATACAGGAGGTACAACGAGTGGGGCAGTCCAAGCCCTTCCATGGGCTCCCTGCGATGTGTGACTGACCCCAACTGAAGATCCAAATCACACAACCACCTCTCCCAATGTCTCAACAGCAATGCCTGTCCATGCAGCGACTACGTCTGGGCCTGTGGATCTGTCATGCTGAATGTATTTGTGATGCTTGCTTTATTCTGGCACAAGTGCCATTTAGCCTCACTTAATTAGGGCTATTTGTCTCTTTTAGCACTGTTGACTGAGCAAACTGTATTTTATCAGCACCTTTCCCTTCCCAACTACAACTGGAAATAAAGTAAAATTTGATTAAAATCAAACAAATGACATTTGTACAGTATGAATGCCATACAATGACAGGGTATCTGCAAGTTTTATGAAGAATTTAAATCTTTAAAACCTTTCTGAGACCAGTTAAAGAAAATTAAGGGGAACACAATTCGCCAATATAGAGCAGATATTGAGTTGTATTAGCAGCACTTCGGTTTTTTTTTTTTAAACCAAAAAATAGCTCAACTAGAATATGTAAATAACTTTTACGGTAACTTCTGATTACACTGCACAAAAGTGGTGCTTTTCCTCAGTATTTTTGTCTTGTTTCCAAATGCAAATGTCTAAAAATTCTGTAATCATGATAGATGCAATTACATAAATCTTGTTTTCTGAAAAATGTAAATTTGTGATTAAAAAAGGAAAAATATCTGCCAATGGCCTTAGAAGAATCAACATTATTCATATGTAAAAGAAGTTTCATACACCATTTCCAACGTATTTGTTCTTGTTTTAAGCATAAACTCACTTAATATTGTATATATAAAAAAAGCTTCCCATCTTAATTTTGTATCTGAAGCAAAAGTATCTTAAATTTAGGATGTTTAGATTGGAAAACAAGACAAAAAAAATACTGACAAAGATATTCATTTTTTTCAGTTCATGCAACATCTAATGCCATGATTTTATACATTTATTTGTTGTAAATAGGGCAAACTAAGACTTTTTAAGACCTTTTTAAAACCCACAGAAATCTTGAATGAATGAAACAGGATACGTCCATCGGCTTGATCGTACATGACGTCATCTCATGCCTGAGAGACAAAAGAAAATTATTAAGCAAACCGCTTGTTCTTTGAACTTAGTTATTAAAGAACAAAAAAAGGGGTATCTGAGGATGGTAGAGCAGAAGACTTTTATAAGATCACATGGGCCCTTGAAAGAGGCCCCATATTAGCAGCACATCATAGGGCAACGCAGACTCAAAGAAGAAAAGTCAAAGTGGCCTGGTCTTAGCCCCGAGCATGCGGCTCTCAGAACACAAAACAAAACCAAGTCCATATCTCAGCTCATGTATTTTTCATAAGGAATGGATACCGAGCTCTTTCAGAAATAAATATCAATTACTGAAACTGTTAATTAGAAGCCCATAATTGGCAAAGATACAAATGAATAAATAACTTTGACGATTAATTATTGATTTGAAAAAATTAAGCTCAGCAGGGAGCACATTTGAGTCTCTAAAGATCAAGGAAGCACAAGAAATATGAGTTTTCGCCTCAAGTAATGTTCAATTAAAGCTGTACTGACTGTGAAAGTCCGATGGCTTGCCATGAGACCGGTTCTTTTAAATTTCACATCCATATTCCTTAAACTGTCAGACGTGTGAAATATTGCGTGCAGGTTGATGTACAGTAGTAACAAATCAAGAATTATTTAGCAGTCATAATTTGAACATAAAACTGCACTGACAAAATACATCGAAAAGTACAGTTTTAAGGTCAACGCTTATCTTATATTTTGAATATCAGCATTGCAACCTTTGTTTCACATGTTGGTTATAATTTTGCTTTTTATACGACTGCACCCGTATTTCCGTCTCCTGATTTGGCAGTAACATTCTCCTCATTTGAGCATTTTTCAACCTCTTTCATCCAAACAGTCATTGATCACAGATCTTATGCAGTAAAGTTGGAACACAATAACAGATGAATGAGACTTTGTTTCTCTTCATCTCTGGATCTTTTTAGTTTCTGATGAAGGCTCATTGTGCGTAAACCGCACATTTTGGAGAATAAAAAGAAGTTGTGAGTCAAAAGGCACTGGCACTTTAATGGCAAGCCTCAGTCTTCTCGCAGTCTCTTCTTTCCTAATAGCAACATAATTAATCCTCTGTAGTATTGTTTTCACTCTTCCATGTCCCACTTAGTGCTTGGCAAGTCTCTCTCTCCCTACAGAACAGCCTCTTGATGTTTTCCACACTGAACTGTACTTAAGAAAGATTATTAATCAAGTTCAAAATGGCCCCAATACTTGTCGGTTTCCTCCCTAAATCCTTCTCCAAACATCTTTCAGGTACAAATTCAACTTTCAGGTATCCTGAAGCATTTCGAAAGTACAAAAAAAGAAATTTATTCTACATACAAACATTTTGAACATCTTCAGAATACTTTTCATACTATTAAACATCACTATTTTGTTGAGCATTACAGAACTTTAACGTACAGATGACAAGGTCTTTTTGAAGCAGTTC